AGAGAGGAAAGGAAACTCAAATGATGATGAATTTTCTTTTTGTTTGGTTGAAGAAGAGGGAGAGAAATTTGTCTTCTAAGAATGAAATTGATAATATTCCTTCATTTTATTTGTTCTTTCAATTCAAATTTCAAAATTTTCTTTCCTCCTATACTCCCTATCCACCATACCAAACATATAAGTTTTAAAACACAGATTCTCTCCCATTGTACTAAATCATATAATGTGCTCCGTAATGTGAATATTGAGGTCCAAGTTATATGGCCTCCTTAAGGGAAATCATTATACCACAAATCATAGGTGTTAAAACATGCATGAACAATCGAATCAGCCTGGGGAACATATGTTCTTTGTTAATTTGCCATCCGAGGAGCAAATGGTGTCTCCAACAAGTTAAGGACCAGACAAAAATTTATTACTCCTTTTCTTTGAGATTAAAGTTTATATATTCGAACCAGACTAAAACTTATTACTTCATTTTTTTTATTACAGTTTATATAAGAGTGTCTCTTCTTCATACTTTTCCAAATATTTCTGGACGTAATTTTGTTTCCTTCTAAAATTTATCATGATGGCTATTTATTCTCTCTGAAATTTAAAGTTTTGCTGAGAAAAGGATTAGCTTAAGTATTGCATGATAATTTGTGTGGTTGTATCAAATGTATCAGTTCTAAAAAGCATTTATATGATGATGAGGATGTGGATATTTATTATTGTTGGATTTATCTTGTTTTATGCTTTACAATTGATGCGATCCTTGAGATTCAAATATAGGAAATGGTTGTAGTTTCTTGACAGTAGTTTGTTTGGAGATTCGTTCTCTCTATCTCTTATTCGTACTGCAAATGTTGTATTCTGTGTTTTGGCTTGCTAAGAATGAGTAAGCTGTGGTGTTAAAATATTACTTTATTAACTCTACTATTCTTGGCTTGTAGATTGTTGGGATTGAGGTGCATTGGGGTATCATGTTGACAAACTTAGGTGTCTGTTTGGACAATTTTTTTCATCAGAACTTTTTAAGGTAGGAAATAAGAAGAAAAAATAGAATAAGTTTCTCCATAAATTAAAGTTATCTCACGCATAAATTAATTTTTAGACACTCTTCCGTTTCATCTTTTCTTCAAGATGATTTTGAACTTTACATAAACTAATTTTAGCCTATGGATACGTTTATTTCATCATATATTTTCTCTCTTAAATGTACTTATGAACAAGCTTACCGAAGGTCTTATAACTCTGCTGTAATAAATTTGATTCAATTTTCTTGAGGAAGTACAATGAATAACCTGTGCACTGCACTAGGGAGAAAAGGAAATAAAATAAGGCAAAAGATTATCCTGCATAAGAAAATAAGCAATTCATGCTGGTCCTTTATGACATTTCTTTCTTCCTTAAGTATCTACTGCCGAGTTTTCTAATTGAAATTGGCTTTGTTCTAATTACTTAAAATATTTTGCAGCCGTTTCTTGCAGTGCAGAGGTCCATTTGCTAAGAGAAGGCATCCATTGGTGGACTCAACTGTTGTTTCCGAAATTAGAAGATGCCTTGATGAAGGGGTTGAATTCCAAGGTGAGTTGCTGAACTTTAGGAAAGATGGATCTCCACTTATGAACAGATTGCGTCTGACACCTATATATGGAGATGATGAGATAACTCATGTCATTGGAATCCAGTTCTTCACAGAGGCAAACATTGATCTTGGTCCCCTCCCAGGTTCTAAGGTTAAGGAATATACTAAATCATCAGATCAATTTCGTTTGGTGCTTTCGTCATTGAATCCGCTTCATGTTGGGGATCGTAATGTTACTCGTGGAGTTTGTGGAATATTGCAATTAAGTGATGAGGTATTGTCTCTCAAGATACTTGCTCGCTTGACTCCAAGAGATATTGCATCTGTCAGTTCTGTTTGTAGGCAGTTCTATGAGCTAACAAAAAGCGAAAATCTTTGGAGAATGGTGTGCCAAAATGCTTGGGGCAGTGAGACTACACGTGTTTTAGAGACTGTGCCTGGTGCAAGGAGACTTGGATGGGGTCGGCTGGCAAGAGAACTGACCACTCTTGAAGCAGCAGCTTGGAGGAAACTGACTGTTGGAGGTGTGGTTGAACCTTCACGCTGTAATTTTAGTGCTTGTGCTGTTGGTAATAGAGTTGTCCTATTTGGTGGTGAAGGGGTTAACATGCAACCTATGAATGATACTTTTGTACTGGATCTGAATTCAAGTAATCCGGAGTGGCAACATGTCCAGGTGAGTTCTCCTCCCCCTGGTCGGTGGGGCCACACCCTTTCTTGTGTTAATGGTTCTAATTTAGTTGTATTTGGAGGCTGTGGAAGGCAGGGCTTGCTCAATGATGTGTTTGTTCTGGACCTGGATGCAAAGCCTCCAACATGGCGTGAAATCTCTGGACTGGCACCTCCACTTCCGAGATCTTGGCATAGCTCCTGTACACTTGATGGTACTAAGTTGATAGTTTCTGGTGGCTGTGCTGATTCTGGTGTACTCTTGAGTGATACTTTCCTCCTTGATCTCTCAATGGAGAAACCTGTCTGGAGGGAGATACCAGTAACATGGACTCCACCTTCGCGCCTGGGTCACACACTATCTGTTTATGGTGGTAGGAAAATACTGATGTTTGGGGGTCTGGCCAAGAGTGGGCCCCTTCGGTTTCGCTCCAGTGATGTATTCACGATGGATTTAAGTGAGGAGGAGCCATGTTGGAGGTCTGTAACGGGGAGTGGAATGCCAGGTGCTGGAAATCCAGGAGGCATAGCTCCCCCTCCTAGACTTGATCATGTGGCTGTGAGCCTTCCAGGTGGGAGAATTCTGATATTTGGTGGGTCTGTTGCAGGCCTTCATTCTGCTTCCCAGCTTTACATACTAGACCCGACTGACGAGAAGCCTACATGGAGAATCCTAAATGTACCTGGGCGCCCTCCAAGATTTGCTTGGGGACATAGTACATGTGTTGTTGGAGGGACAAGAGCTATTGTACTAGGTGGTCAAACTGGGGAGGAATGGATGCTAAGTGATCTCCATGAACTTTCCTTGGCATGCTCTGTTATCTAAATCCAGTTAATAAACGGGAATGGTATACCGAGGGTAATGTTGATCATGAAATCATTTTAAGGCTGTAAAGGTTTGTGTTGGTCACTGATAACACTTAACAAGTTCTTGCCCGGTCAGAACATTTGTGTATTAGGCCGATTCAAGGTTTCATTTTATTTTAAGGTTAGTTCTGACCTGAGAACTTTTCATTGAGTGACACATACCATGCCTGGTTTTTACGTGGTTGAGACTTTGCCTTCCAGTATACACTGAGTTATTCTTCCTGAATAGATTATTAGTGTCTGGTAACTAGTAGGTAATAATATATTTGGGTTGTAGCTCACTTGATTCCCCCGTCGGTTGCTTTGTTCAAATTATGTAATTTGAACAATGACAACGTTTAGAAAAAAAAAAAAAACTCATGTTTATACTAATACAATTAGGTCCATTATATGTAATGAAAGTCTCTACTTCTGCATTGAACAAGTCAGCTGACATGGTCATAAATTGGTTGTAATGAAATGTAACTCTGCAAACAGGTGTACAAGGTAGGGAATCCTGTAGTCTGTACATATTTTCCTTTATTTTTGTGATAATATGGAATGTGGTAACCTTTGTATGGTTTATTGTTGTTTTTCTTGCCATATTTGTGTTTGATGGTATTGCTGTTAATATATGTGGTTATGATAAATGATCCTTAGGTACGAGATAAAGTGAACCAGACAATTGTTTTTCCATTAAATAATCATTACTTACAGACGAGTTAAAAGTTCGCAATACACCTTCTAATCAAATTATGAGTGATGTAGAAGGAGCACTTTTTCTGCTGACTATAACTGTTATAAAATTTGTATTTGTGTGCCATTATTTATTATTATTTTTATTTATAATTCAATATTGGTTATGTATTTAATATATTTGTATGCTGTATCATGTATAGTACTTATGAGTGTATATTCTATATCAGTTCACGAGTAATGTTTTTTGGCTGTTTAGAAATTGATGTTAAATTTCTGTAAGACGTAGAAACTGCATACAAATAAAATTCAATAACTTTTTTCTTTAAGAACATGATGTAAAATTCCTATCTTGTAGTTCCTTTTTCCAAGAGTTTTTTATTGGCTAAATTCCATTGAGACGTAATAAGATTCACTTCTAGATTCTCTTAAAAGGTGTTAATGAACGAAAGGGATTTAAAATGAATGACCATTGGAAGTTGGAAACTTAATAATCAAATATCTATTTGATTTTAATAAACAAAGAAGATAAGCAACATAAAGGCAAATTTATGTTAATATTGAATCAACTTGAGAAAGATAAATAAATTATATTAACTGAATTTTGTTAAGGATGAAAACAAAATGTGATAGTTTTAAGTTAACATTTTGCATAATTTATACAAAGTCTCATTAAAAAAATATAAATTCCAAGGTGTTTTTCATGAAGAATTTGACAGATTTAATGAGACATTCTATTATGATATATAAATATCACTTGAACTATCAAATAATTCTTCTAAAGAAGACTTTCCAAATTCTCTTTCTTTAATTGCTACTCATTAAACTATTTATTCTCTAAAAGTATTCAGGTGTACTATTTATTAGTCATTGAGTTTACTTTCTTGAAATTCAACAAAATAACTAAAAAAAGATGAAAAAAGTATTGAGTTTACTTTCTTCTTATCTAAACTATAATTTTATTGATTTTTATAATTTTAAATATATTTTAAAACTTCTAAACATTTTTCAAATCTTATAAATTCATAATTATTTTAAATCTTTTAATTTATTAGTATAAAAGTTGTTTAAGTGTACAATATTTTTATATTATTTGCTTAAAATCCACAAGATTTTTGTACCATTTTATTTTTTCTGACAATTATCAACATTTTCTAAAAAATCTTAATCCAAGAAACATCTCCCTAAAACAGTGCTTGAAAAAAATTTAAGTAAACCAAAATATAAAAAGAACAGCGTCATCTACTTTCTTTTTTCTGGAACAACCTCAACTCACCCCTTTCTTAGCTTAATTGCTCGCCACTCGTTTTATGCCTTCTCAATCTCATCATCGAATTCCACTCTTCCACACTCTCAACAACACCGACTAACCAACGCAACGCAACGCTCCTTCAACCATAATTTCTCATACACTCTCTCTCCGGTTCTCACCGCTCCCTTCTCCACGCGCGCCCCATGGGATGAACTTCAACGTCTGCCGCGATTCCGTTTCCCTTCAATGGAGTGGGACAGCAATTCTGATCTCAGCGGCGACGACGACGCCGCTTCCTTCCTCCTCAACGACGACGATGACGACGTCGTCGGGCCCCTCCCCTTTCCCATCCTCCAAACCGCCCCCTGCGGCTTCGTCGTCACCGATGCGCTCGAGCCCGACCACCCTATCATATACGTCAACGCCGTTTTCGAGATGGTTACCGGCTACCGCGCAGAAGAAGTGCTCGGTCGCAACTGGTTAGTGCCTCTCTCGATATTTCTCCTCCTTAGGTTTAGGTTTTTGGTTCGCATTTTCGCTCTCCTTCGAAACCCTAGGAAATCGTTGGAACTTAGATTGAGGGATGTTACGGCGGGATGTAATGTGATGCTCATCGTACTGAATGCTGTAGTCACTCGAATTTGGAATTGTGTTGTGCGAGTTCGGGGTTTATGAAGGGATTTGGATTTGTTTGTCGTGAAATAGTAATTTAATCACTGAGTGAACTTGTTCCTGTTTGGTATTTCTTTCAATTGTGGTAACTTTTGTGTTGAGTGCTGCATTCTGTTGTTCTACGGTGGAGAACTGGTTCAGGTTAGGCATTGGGAAATTAAATTGGTATTGAAAGTGGTGAGTTTCGAATTATATGGTCTGCATTAAAGAAATCATTATACCACGTACATAGTTGTTAAAAACATGAATCAACAATCCATTCAGTCTAGGGAACTGCTGTTTTGGTTAATTTGCCATATGAAGAACTAAGTGTGTCAAACATGATTAGGACCAGCCTAAAATTTATTATTCCTTTTCTTTTAGATTATAGTGTATATGATGAGTGTCTCCGCTGCAGACTTTTCCAAATATTTCTCAACATAACGAGATGTGTTTCCTTCTAAAATTTATCATGAAAAGAAAGTCTGGGAATTTATTCTCTTGAAATTTTCTCTCTTTTTATGGGAAATAAATTCAACTGGAGAAAATAAAGAAGCACAACCTGAGGAAAGGCTGAAGAATAAGTGGTTATGCCACTGCTGGTTTGTTTTTTTATTTCCTATAGTTTGAATTGGAGTTATTAGTGCTGGGATTTTTGTTCTGTAGGATTGAAAGCATTTCACTTAGCTAAGAATAAGAATTAGTAGATATTTACCGGAACCTCTTTCATATATAAAATTTTGTCTATAATTATTGATTAGTCAGATATTTTGTGGCATTATCTTAAATGCATATGTTCTGGAATACGGTTATGCAATTTATTCTTATGTCTCACATTGTATTGCAAGTGTGTGCTTGGTTTTGGAAATTGAAACTGACTGCTGAAATGCCCGTTTTCTAGTTGCTCTTAGCTATTGATAATTATTCTTGCTAAAGGCTTGTCCGATGCCACTGTTCTTTGATCGGATATGTTATATTGCAAGTAGGCTGTAATATGGAAAAAGTAGTTTGAATTGTACAAAACCTAGACAGCATGAAGGTAGCTGATATGAGGTTTATGTTGGAAAGAGAAAGAAACAGTAATAGAGAGAAAGAAAGAGGAGAAAAGGGATGAAGAACAGAACAGAGAGGATAGAGATACAAGAAAGAAACTGAGAGATCAATAAGTACTTTTATTATTATATCTTTCCAATGGTTAAAATATACAATAATAATCTTGTTAGATATATTAGATTATTGGATATTTTAGATAAATATCTTAACTTTTATCTTTAGTTAGTTTGTTATTATTTTTTATTTGTATTTTGGGCTTAGTCCATATTTTTTCTATTATAAATTTAGTATCCTATGTGTATATTCAACATAAAGAAAATTAATTCCATACATAGTTTTCTCTATATTGAACAAATCTTTATAATCTTTATTCACAGTAATCTTCCCAACTAAAATCCTAATTTAGATTATTTGACTAACTAACCAACTAATATTCTTTTCCTATTTATATTTACATTAAAAACTTCCTCTCCCCTAAGAAAACAGGACTCTTACCCTCAGTGTTCTTGAACTTCAAATGGGATGGCAAATATGATATATTGAGTATGTAAATCTGATACATGAAGTGATGAGTAACTGTTAGCCACGGATGAGATAGGGCCTTAAACTTGGGATACATGCTCAAATGGTGGGCTGTATTCAATTTCTACAGTTAAAGCTTTCAATGTCTGTTAAAGGTTTTATCAATTAGGATAATTGTTAGTCATGTCATGATCCTATTTATAAGGAATATCTTTGTAGCCTTTTAATGGGTAGACCTGATTGGAATATATTCATGACAAATTATTTTCAGAAAAAAACTTGTGTCAATCTTTGGAGGAACTTTGTCAAGGATAAGTTGTCTTCTTTCTTTTGCCATAGGTTGCTGTAAAGATTCTTGCTTGTCTTGGGTTGTGACTTGATCTATATGAAGGTTAACAACTTGGTATGAGGCGACAACATGAGTGACACANCTTTTTTCTTTAAGAACATGATGTAAAATTCCTATCTTGTAGTTCCTTTTTCCAAGAGTTTTTTATTGGCTAAATTCCATTGAGACGTAATAAGATTCACTTCTAGATTCTCTTAAAAGGTGTTAATGAACGAAAGGGATTTAAAATGAATGACCATTGGAAGTTGGAAACTTAATAATCAAATATCTATTTGATTTTAATAAACAAAGAAGATAAGCAACATAAAGGCAAATTTATGTTAATATTGAATCAACTTGAGAAAGATAAATAAATTATATTAACTGAATTTTGTTAAGGATGAAAACAAAATGTGATAGTTTTAAGTTAACATTTTGCATAATTTATACAAAGTCTCATTAAAAAAATATAAATTCCAAGGTGTTTTTCATGAAGAATTTGACAGATTTAATGAGACATTCTATTATGATATATAAATATCACTTGAACTATCAAATAATTCTTCTAAAGAAGACTTTCCAAATTCTCTTTCTTTAATTGCTACTCATTAAACTATTTATTCTCTAAAAGTATTCAGGTGTACTATTTATTAGTCATTGAGTTTACTTTCTTGAAATTCAACAAAATAACTAAAAAAAGATGAAAAAAGTATTGAGTTTACTTTCTTCTTATCTAAACTATAATTTTATTGATTTTTATAATTTTAAATATATTTTAAAACTTCTAAACATTTTTCAAATCTTATAAATTCATAATTATTTTAAATCTTTTAATTTATTAGTATAAAAGTTGTTTAAGTGTACAATATTTTTATATTATTTGCTTAAAATCCACAAGATTTTTGTACCATTTTATTTTTTCTGACAATTATCAACATTTTCTAAAAAATCTTAATCCAAGAAACATCTCCCTAAAACAGTGCTTGAAAAAAATTTAAGTAAACCAAAATATAAAAAGAACAGCGTCATCTACTTTCTTTTTTCTGGAACAACCTCAACTCACCCCTTTCTTAGCTTAATTGCTCGCCACTCGTTTTATGCCTTCTCAATCTCATCATCGAATTCCACTCTTCCACACTCTCAACAACACCGACTAACCAACGCAACGCAACGCTCCTTCAACCATAATTTCTCATACACTCTCTCTCCGGTTCTCACCGCTCCCTTCTCCACGCGCGCCCCATGGGATGAACTTCAACGTCTGCCGCGATTCCGTTTCCCTTCAATGGAGTGGGACAGCAATTCTGATCTCAGCGGCGACGACGACGCCGCTTCCTTCCTCCTCAACGACGACGATGACGACGTCGTCGGGCCCCTCCCCTTTCCCATCCTCCAAACCGCCCCCTGCGGCTTCGTCGTCACCGATGCGCTCGAGCCCGACCACCCTATCATATACGTCAACGCCGTTTTCGAGATGGTTACCGGCTACCGCGCAGAAGAAGTGCTCGGTCGCAACTGGTTAGTGCCTCTCTCGATATTTCTCCTCCTTAGGTTTAGGTTTTTGGTTCGCATTTTCGCTCTCCTTCGAAACCCTAGGAAATCGTTGGAACTTAGATTGAGGGATGTTACGGCGGGATGTAATGTGATGCTCATCGTACTGAATGCTGTAGTCACTCGAATTTGGAATTGTGTTGTGCGAGTTCGGGGTTTATGAAGGGATTTGGATTTGTTTGTCGTGAAATAGTAATTTAATCACTGAGTGAACTTGTTCCTGTTTGGTATTTCTTTCAATTGTGGTAACTTTTGTGTTGAGTGCTGCATTCTGTTGTTCTACGGTGGAGAACTGGTTCAGGTTAGGCATTGGGAAATTAAATTGGTATTGAAAGTGGTGAGTTTCGAATTATATGGTCTGCATTAAAGAAATCATTATACCACGTACATAGTTGTTAAAAACATGAATCAACAATCCATTCAGGCTAGGGAACTGCTGTTTTGGTTAATTTGCCATATGAAGAACGAAGTGTGTCAAACATGATTAGGACCAGCCTAAAATTTATTATTCCTTTTCTTTTAGATTATAGTGTATATGATGAGTGTCTCCGCTGCAGACTTTTCCAAATATTTCTCAACATAACGAGAGGTGTTTCCTTCTAAAATTTATCATGAAAAGAAAGTCTGGGAATTTATTCTCTTGAAATTTTCTCTCTTTTTATGGGAAATAAATTCAACTGGAGAAAATAAAGAAGCACAACCTGAGGAAAGGCTGAAGAATAAGTGGTTATGCCACTGCTGGTTTGTTTTTTTATTTCCTATAGTTTGAATTGGAGTTATTAGTGCTGGGATTTTTGTTCTGTAGGATTGAAAGCATTTCACTTAGCTAAGAATAAGAATTAGTAGATATTTACCGGAACCTCTTTCATATATAAAATTTTGTCTATAATTATTGATTAGTCAGATATTTTGTGGCATTATCTTAAATGCATATGTTCTGGAATACGGTTATGCAATTTATTCTTATGTCTCACATTGTATTGCAAGTGTGTGCTTGGTTTTGGAAATTGAAACTGACTGCTGAAATGCCCGTTTTCTAGTTGCTCTTAGCTATTGATAATTATTCTTGCTAAAGGCTTGTCCGATGCCACTGTTCTTTGATCGGATATGTTATATTGCAAGTAGGCTGTAATATGGAAAAAGTAGTTTGAATTGTACAAAACCTAGACAGCATGAAGGTAGCTGATATGAGGTTTATGTTGGAAAGAGAAAGAAACAGCAATAGAGAGAAAGAAAGAGGAGAAAAGGGATGAAGAACAGAACAGAGAGGATAGAGATACAAGAAAGAAACTGAGAGATCAATAAGTACTTTTATTATTATATCTTTCCAATGGTTAAAATATACAATAATAATCTTGTTAGATATATTAGATT